CCCTTGGTTATTATGTGATGATGTAGCTGTTTGGTGCCTGGTGCATGGCGTTGGTCACAGTCTCTCATGGTGGGGTTGCTCCTCCTCTCCCCACTGCTATTAAACGTGACCCATGGGTTATTTATCAGTGCTTCTCCCATGGCACAGTGTGCATGTGACAAGTCTTGGAGATGCTGGGCAGCGGGAGGTTCCACTTGGTGCTCTGCTATTGCAAACACTGGGGGTTTGGCTGGTTAAATATTTACAGTGGTGATGTGATGGCTGTCCCCAGGTGCCACTTCACTGGAGCAGATGTTTGTGCTGCTTGGCTTCAGACCAGCATTGGCTTGTGATGGCTCTTTGCTCCTCTACCAAGCCAAACCCTCAGTCTTGTCAGCTGATGTAAAACCATCCGTTTCCTTCTGCTGGGAAATGTAGACCCAGTCTTGTGTCCCCATGGAATACAGCAGTGGACATTGCTGAGGTTTGAACCCTGTTCAGTGTTCTGAGGCTTGGGGAAAGCCAGGGTGTCTGGAGCATCTGCTTGGATTCTCAAGTGCAAAGCAACTGTGTAGAAGAACCCAGCTGGAAGTGGCATCAGTTCCTTATTGCTGTCAAAGCCTCTGTTACTGGGATGGAGGTGATAACTTCTGGAATGCAGAAGCTACCATGGCTAGAAAACAAAACCAGCCATGACATGGAAAGAAACAAAACAAAGAATTTATCAATATCATGTCTCCAAGAGGTGAGAAAGGATTTTGCTGGAGAACTGAGCTTAAGTTGTTGTTAAGTGGTTTTTATTTGCAGTAAAGGCTGAAACTGAACCAGGAGTTGACTCCCAGCATGTAAGCAGAAGCTAACTGTAAAATGTGCTTTTCACTGTAGTAACATCAAGAATTAACCATGCAGCTCGTCTTGATGGATGGAAACATGAATGGATCAAGTGCTCCCAACTGTCATTCAGCAAATTGTGCTGCTTGGAAATTCTGATTCAAGCTAATGTTCTAATAATATTTAATTTATAATTCATTTATGTATTTAAGTGCATCCAGATTCTTCCTTCCGATTCATACTTTCTTATTTTGACAGCAAAAAGAATTCTAACTCTTACCACTGATGAAGCTTCCAGTTGAATTAAATTCTATTAAATTAAGGAGTTTTATTTGAATTAATAATGCTTCTTTGGTGAAGTCCAGACCTTTGTAGGGCTTCCTATTGCTGTATCTCCTGCTTGCATTGGTATGCTGAAGCACAGCAACATAGATAAGGACAGTAAATGTAAATACCTCCAGTGAAAAGCTGTGGTGGAGTGGAATTGTTTGAAGCATATGTGGGACTTGGTTGCTTTGTTAGCAAAAAAAAAAACTTAAAAAATCCCTGCTGAAGGACTGAGGGTGTTTCTCTCTGGGCAGAGCTTTATTTGGAATGTTTTGTTAGGGAATCTTTTGAAGTGCCCAGAGAATTTCAACAAAATGGCTGCTTTCCTCGGGTTTGTTCCTATCTGGATATCAACAGGCTTGCTGCCCTCGGCTCCAGGCAATCCGCCTCAGCTCCGACATGTAAAATTTAATAGGAGGCTGCTGTAAGGAAGATCTGCTGTTTCAGCTTTCATCAGACCACGTTTGGAGGAGAACGTGTTGGCTGTTCCCTTGCTCTCTCTCCGTCCCTGGCTGCTTTCTGTAGGAAAATTTGTCTTTGTAAACAAAAAACAGCCTTCGTAGGAGCGTGCTCTTGCAGCCTTGGGAATAATCCCGTCTGAGCAGCAGCAGAGCCTGTTCATAACTAATCTGCGTGGTGTCAGTCATAGGAAATAATCCTGTGTGCCAGACGAGGAGGCAGAGCAGAGCCCGTGACTTCCCAGTGCTGTGTAACCCAGGATTAGGACATTCCATTAATTTTTACAGCATGAGTGTCCAGAGTGATGGCTGAGGGTTGGTGGAAGGCTGGAGTAGAGCTGGTGTTGAAATACCATGTTATTTTGGTGGTGCTTTAATCCTGTGTGCCCAAGGCATGGGACACAACTCTCACTGGGGTGGGTGCTGTGGTTCGCTCCTCCAGCACTGCTCTGGAATAACTGAGGGAAGTGTGTGCATATGAGCTGTTCCCATGGAACAGCTGTTCCATGATGATGTGCCCGGTCTTAGGCTGGAACGATCCTTCACGCCAGAACTTTTAGCATTTGTATTTAGCTGATTTTCCCCTTAGCTGCCTCCCTCCCAGTCTTCTGTGCTCTCTGTGCACCTCCAGCCCAGACTGTATCCCTGTCCGGGGATGAGCAAGGGCAGGGCTATGTTAATTCTTTCATTTTGTATCCAGGAAACAGCCAGGGGAGGTTTGAATGCTACATCTGGGATGTGGCAGGCAGTGAAAGCAGGCAGCCCAGCTATTTCTGGTGGGAGCTTGTCATGATGCTGGCGTGTCCTTTCTTTTTAAAACGTTCAACCAACAGTGCTGGAAGAAGCTGGAGGCCAGAAAGCCAGGAGAAGGTGATAGTACACAGAGTCAACAGTATAATCCCAAATAATGTCCAGTTTTGTACCCTGACCTCGCAGTGCTGGGATACCTGGGGGCTCTGACCTAGGGAAACGTTTGGAAAGTGGCAGTGCCTGTGTGTTGGGAAAATGCAGAAGCCACAGATGAAACCCTCTTATCCTTTCCGACCACATGTCCTTTGGGGAGTGATAATTGATGGATCAGCCTTGTTCTACTTAATAATCACTGCAGACCATTTGAGTTTCTTATCCAGGTACCATAACTTTTCCTTCAGTGCAGGGTAAACCTGGCTTTTTAAAGTCAGCCAGAGACCACTGCCTCAGCTGCCCCTCAGCCTATTAAGCAATTAATAGGTATTCCCAGAAGCCTTAATAAGTGGCCAAGTGGGCTGTTGTGGTAGGAGGTAGGACAAGACTTTGGGCTGGTTTTAATTAAAGCTCTCTCAATGCCTTTGCTTGAGAAATGAAGAAAATTGTGTTTTTCTGTACATCTGGCAGATCTCTGGGCTGAGTGAAGGCTCCTTATGTTGAAGGGCTGTGTGCTTTGCTGTCTGGAATTCTTAACTGGAGAATTACAGGGGCTGGTATCATAACCAAGATAATCTAGAGATAAGATCGGTTTATTTACTAAGGTATATTTTCATCTTTGATTAAATTGCTCTAGGAATTGAGTCTAAGTGAGCTTTTAAGAGCTCCTTTAGGTACTGCTCCGTAGTACAGACAGAGTTACAGAAAAGGATGTTGTGTAGACCCAAATACAAAATAACCTGGAAAGATCAGAAACTAAAGCCCAAAAGAGGCTGCTGGAGGAGCCTTTGAGTGAAGGAGACCCTTAAATTCCCATTAATCTTTTTGTTGGCAGGACTGACTTGAAAGAGTTGAGCTGCTTGCTCCCCTCTGCAGGGCTGGATGAGGGAGGGATGCTGTCAGAGAGCTGGTGACGTGTGGTTGTCAGCCAGGCAGCTCGTGTTGCTGCAGGGAAGAGCTTGGATCCCTGTCACCTGGGAGACTGGTTCAGATATGGACCAGAACCACACTGTCACCTTGCATTTAAGCAGTACCCATTTCTGGTATCTCTTGCCCCATACTGTGTAGATCTACTGTCTCAGCTGGTTTGGGGGTTCCGCAGGGACCACACAGGGATCTGGTCAAACCTTTCTAAAGCTGCTTTGGTTCACATGGGCTTTTTAAGACGGGAAAAAGTTCTTAGTTTCACCTTAAACAATCTGTGCTGGCATTAATAAGAGTCAGAACACTCTGTAGAAGGAGAGGAGTGTCATGTTTTACAGTATAAACCACAAGACTGGTTCTTTGTGCTTATTACACTGTCACCCGAGGGCTTTATTTCAGTGAAGGTTTTGTCGGTGTTGGTGGTGAAAGAGCCTGTCCTGCTTTCCCCTTGTGCTAATGCAGCTGTCTGTGTGGTCAGGCAATCAAATGGATCGGAGAACTGATTCCATGAAAAAAACAACCTAAAGGAAAAGAGAAGATCCGTTTCTGAACCATTATTTGCAGCATAAAATGGCTGTAGCAGTATGGACTGATGAGGGCCCGACATTAAAGGATGGGATGGGATCGCTGCTGTGGGTGACAGCATTGGCTTTTGGCAGCATCAGGTTGTGGCTGTAGCTCCGGGGCTCAGGAAATCACATTGCTGCTTTATGTCCTACTTTTCAACAGCTTCAGAGCGTCCATTGAACGTTGGCCCTGAGGCAAACTTCCATTTTGGTGTCAAATGGCAAAGTACACACAGCCGCTTCCAGGGCCCTGCTCTTGTCTCCTTTGCATGTAAATGGTCCTAAAACTGGGTCCAGAGAGTGGATTTTGGGAGCTAAAACGTGGTTCTGGGATGTAAGAGGAGCCATATGGTCTGTGTTTCTCATATAATCAAACTCTTGGCTGATGATTCAGATTTAGTTGGAATTAAAACTTGTACACATTTGAAAATCAGCTTTTATGTTCCACCTTCTTTCTGACCTTTTTAGGCTGCATTTCTTTCCTTAGCTGTCCATAAGTTTTTTCTGGATTTCATGATGTTTCAGGAACTTCTTGGGTCTTCCAAGGACTTTGTTACACTGGCATCCAGTTGTGTTCTGGGACAGTTTTCAGCCCAAATGTTTTGATGGTCAGGGCTGGATTGTTCTTGCTCTGCAAGTAGTGTGGAGATTGTGGCAAAAATGGGTATGATGGGTGGAAATCAACCCTTCCTGCATTTTACAGACATCCTGGAATTGCATTGTGTGGGCATGCTGGATCTGGAGATGTTGGCACTGTGGTAGGTGTAATTAATCTGGTCCTTAAATCTTCAACCAAATTTTCATTTTATACAGATGGCTTGGATTTATAGAGTTGGGTTTTTTTTTCCTTTGAAATTTGTCTGTGTCAAGTCCAGCTATTTCCCAGTCCATGCCAGTAAACATGTATTGTCTGAACAGATGATGTTATCAGACACTCTGATTTTTCCCTTTGCCTATTCAAAGCTCTGGCTTGGTTACTCAATTATTGATTGTTTTTCTCTTCTTTCTCCAGAATCCAGCGACTATCACTCGAATACTCCTTAGCCATTTCAACTGGGATAAGGAGAAGCTGATGGAGAGGTAAGCAGCCACCTTAGCATGCAGCCACTTTGTGCTGCAGAGCTGGAAAAAATGTTTGTTCCTGGATTAATTGAGGATGGATGAATGTACAGTGTGTGGCAGGAGAATCTTTCGTGTAAGCTCTAAATGTTCCCCCTTTCCCAGCTAAGGGTGACTTGGTGACTCCTTGTTTTAGTATTATTCATACCTGGTTAGACTTCGAAGTTGTGGAAGTTGCCTGTTGGAAAGAGGGATTTCCAGTTTGAACATGTACAGGCTTTGGAAAAAAGCAAGCAGGAACAGGTTCTTGCTATCTAGCAACTGTTTTGGATTTGGGTTTAGCTGCTCTTGCCTGTCGTGCTGGCATGTGTATTCCTGATATGTTTATTTGCTGCTCCGGCCAAGGCTAAATTGTTCCTGACTGATAATGGTCCTGCCTTGTCTTCATCTCCACAGCTCCAGGTTTTCTTCAGTGTGTGTAAATAATGGCTTGAATTTTTCTTCTCCCTCTCCCTCAAAGTAGAGTGTTTCATGGTTATTTCCCATCTTTGATTCCCAACTCTTGGAATGTTGCTTGGTAAAGGTACTTTTCAGTTCGTTGCTACACAGTGGAGACCGAATCCAGCTGCATTTGGTTCATTCTAGTGCCAGTGTTGGTGTTGAAGTGAGTTGAGGGAGCTGGAGAATGTAATTTACTTTAGAAAATGGGAGGAGAATTAATCTGGACCAAAAGGAGCAGTAAAAGCTGAACAGGGACTTTCTGTTTGTGGTGTCTGCTGGTCTTACTTCTGGTGTGAAGTGACCAATGGATGAGTGTGGAGGGCCTGGTAGGATCATTAGTTTGACTTCTCTCTTAATTACCATCTCCTTTGCCTGATGATCAGGGTATGGGGAGATGACATGTGCTTGATAAACCAGGAGCAGATGTTGGTGCTCCTCTGAATTGATAAATGTCCCTTCACTGAGCCCTGGGCTGAGCCCCTGTAGTTTGGTACTCTGTCACCCAGGGAAAGAGGAGCAAAGGTTTTCACACTGGTAGTAATGGTTTTGGAGTATAAATATACCTGCTATGCTTGGCAAATGGATTTAGGACATCTCTAGACCCCTTTGTGTAATATTTTTGATTAGTGATGGTGCTCAGGTATTTCTTATGTTTTGTTTAACCTAGATTTTTTTTCTGAAGTGATTGTATTTTTTTACAGCTTTCTAGTCTTTATTTTCCTGAGATGACCTCTTTTAGTAAATGTTGGAAGTCTGAAAGCTTTGTGTTACAAATATATCCACTATTTAACTCTGACTACAGCTGTTAAGAATTCTGATTTAATTCCAGCTCCTCAACATGTCTGTTCAGTTTGGTGTTTGACTTTCTTGGGCTGGTTCTCTTGGTTGGGGTAAAGTTCACTCTCCTTGGCTGTGAGATAGCTCTGCACAAGTGCACTGAGAAGCCATCCCTTTGTACAGTAGGTTTCATCCCTTGTCACTGAAAGCTTGTTTAGGGCTGCTGTCAATTTAAAAATAAAAATTGGGATGTGGTTTTGTTTTTGTTTTTCCTCAAGGGAGGTGCCAGCCACGTCAATGTGAGGTATTATTGGTAAGGCTTTTACAGTTTAAGTACATGTTATATTTACAAATCCACAGGTAAACATATTCATTAAAATACTTAACTCAGCAGGATTACTCCTGTGAGTAACAGAATACATGACTTGCTTCGGTGGACCTGTTGCACACTGGTCCCAGTTCTGGTGCTTATTGATGTCCTGTTGTATTAGAAAAACACCAAAACATGATCTCTTGAGTGCCTGGGGCTGCTTTCTGTCACTTCTGCACCAAATAACTTTCATGAAATCATCTGGAGGGCTCAGCAGGAGTAGAAAGCTGGGTGGGAGGCTGAGAGCAGGCTCTTGGTGTTCAAGAGGGTTTGGTCATTGCTCTGGTGATAGGTGAGGATTAAGGGGAAAAAACCCCAAAACCTATATTTTGCTTGAAAGTCGCTGTTGTTTGATGGTGTGTATTTGCAGTTCCTAATCAGAGCCTGTTTTCCCTTAGCTCATGATGAGCCAGCACGACCTCCCAGCAGCCTTATCAGACCTGGCCTGGAGGAAAGCACTTGAGCCAAGTGGCTTCTCTTTCTTTTGATAAGTGGGGTAGTCTGAGCTTGTGACATGAAAATTTCTGTGTTTTGTCACTTTTTAAAGCCTTTTAATGCCTGTTTTTAACGAGCAGGTTGTTACAGCTTTGTCATGGAGTAATTTCACAGTGGTGTTTAGAGGGCAGATGTGTTACAGACATTTAGTCCACTTACAGTAAAGTATTAACAGCCACAATTGAAAAACTGCCCTGTCCCACTGGTGAAACACTAATTGTTTGTGTGCAGAAGCAAAATTGAGGATTTGGGGTGGATTTGTTTGTAGGAGAGAAGTGGTGAGTGGAGGAAATACTAGTTCAGCCTCTGATATGCTGCATGTGTTTAGGAAAATAAAGATGTCAAATATTATTTTCCTGGGTCTTGCAAGCTTGATTCACAGGGACAGGAGAGCAGCAGGTGCAGAGTGACCACATCACCTCAGAAACAAGTGAAGAAAGTGCTTTAGCTTGAACCTTATCTTGATTACCTTTCAATTTTACTATGGCTGATGGTGTCCTCTCCTGAGGACAGTTTGGGGAGGAACCTCTGTGTGATGAAGAGGTTAAAATGCAGCTCTCCTGCTTTATGTGCCTTCCGTGGTCATTTTGTTAAGAGATAAGTGTCTCAACATGTCCCCAAGGCCCGATTTAATCCCTGGAGGCACAGTCAGAGATAGAGCATTCCCTTGTAGCTGCTTATCTTGGTGGCCACATGTCCCTGTTCCCTCTGAGTGGAGGAGGGATGTCAGGAATGCCCAGACTGCCTCTTCTCCAGAACCTACTGCCTGCTTTAGTTGGAACAAATAAGTACTTTACACTCTTCAGCAGAGGCTGAACAGGTGAAAAATGGTGCATGGCAGGAGTTTAGATGTGGAGATATCTTTAACTGTGAGTATATTGATGCACTGACACTCACAAATGCGCTTCCGTGGAAGTAAATATCCCAAAGTATGTGCTAGAAGCAATTTTTTTTCCAGTGAAAAGGCTTTTTATCTTTGATACTCCCATGGGTAGGATTTGATTATGTCTGGAAAATGGCGATTAGGCAGTTACAAACAGCAGGAGGGAATTTTGAGGAGATAAAGGGGCTGACAGCTTGATCCCTCTGCCAAAAAAACTTGGTATTGTTATAGGTTTGGTCTTAGGAAGTAGAAACACTTGAAAATAATGGACAAACACTGGTTTGTCCATTCATTTTAAAATGGCAGAAAAAAAATCCCAACTTTGTGATGAAGCAAATGAACTTTGAAGAATTAATAGAGGAAATTCTCATACGCTAGAAGTGCTGGAATTACTCAATATCTGCATTGTGAAGGGAAATGAGGGCAGAGGATTTAAAGGGTTGTTGCAGGTGCTGTGCTCCTCCCTAGGATGAAAATAAGGATGGAGGTAGCAAGAACCAACCCTTCAATAGAGAGTATTTGAGAAAAAAATCAGAGTTCTTGGAGTTGTGAAGGAAGTGAGGAAGGATGCTGACATGGAGGAGATCTGGAGAAATGTATCCACCTTTTGAATAGGTGGGATTTACAGGAGAAATCTAAGTGAAATTGTATGAGATCAGGATCAGATCAGGACTGGGATTGCGTGTGTTTTGGCTTCCTTGGATTCAAGGAGGATGAATGGAAATGGAAATTGGTGGTGGAGAAGGTTTGCTGGCCAGGGAAGTTGGCGAATATCACATGGAGCTCACCTGCTGTGGGAGGGAAGGGTGTTAGAGCTGCTGCCTGGGAATCCTTTGAGCAAAGAGCATGGGAGGGGCAAAGGGAAATCTGCCTGCATGGATAGTCTGTGGTGGTGCTGGAACAAGTGGGAAAAAGGGACGGTAATTGGAATTAGGCTTTGCTCCTAACCATTGAAGGAACTGCAAGAGTCTTCTGACTGAGCCCTTGGCATATTTGTGTATGGAGTGGTGGAGCATTTTGGGAGCTGTTTGACTTTGGAGTATCCATTGGAACTGTGTGCTTTCAGGGAGATCCACATTTTCCTCTGCATTCTCTGGAGTTCTTACTGCCCAGTGGCAGCATGAGTCTGAGACATACAAAAAAAATAAACTTATTCAGAAAGAAAATGTGTGAGAAGAAAACAGTATGGAGAAGCAGGAATACTATCCATAGGTGTTTAAAGGGGATAGGTAATTCCAGGTGAAAAAAGTCAAGTTCCTGACATGGATATTCACCCTTAAAACCAGCCCACCATTAAAAAAAAACTCTGGTATTTCCATAAGCATTTAACTGGTCATGAGTATCAGGGTTCAAGTTGCATCATAGCATTTATATACAGGACTATTTTCCTTGCAAACTTCACACCCAGCTGTGTGTCTGCTCTCCTCAGAGCATGTCCTGTGCTTGCTTCTGCTGCCTCTAAGAGCAGTTGGAAGGCTGGAAAATTTTTGTAGACTTAATATTTATCCATAATTTTTAATAAACAGATACTGCTTATAATGGGACTGCACTGAATTCATTTGGTAAAATTTTCTAAATATATAATTTTAGATATATTTAGATTTAAATATAATATTCAAATTTCTAAATATAATTCTCTAAGCAAAGAAAAGAACTTGATTGAGTAAAATCATGAGCTAACATTGAAGAACAGTGGCAAAACCTCGTGGTTGCTGTGGTGCCAGAATTCACCACTTCCTTCCAGATTCGGTATCTTGGAATTTAAGATCTGAAATACATGAACTGCATTGAGAAACATATGAAACAGCAGGAAAATTGATATTTTTTAATTATAAATCAAGCCTTTTTGGTAGGTAGAGCTGTAGGGGAGTGGGGGAATGACTTAGTGGATTTGGCTGGGGGATGTGTGCAGGTGATGGGGCTGGTTAATTGTCTGGTTTAATTAGCTATTTGCAGCTATTCCAGGCTGGAGAAAGGTGTATGAAGGATTCTGGGAAGAGGCTGAGCTTTCTGATAATGATTCTCTCCAGTTAGGTGGTCCTCTCCAAGGAAGAGCTTTTTAAAGGCCTTTAAAGCAAACCAATATTGTTTTCCTTAAGGGAGCAGGAAATAGAAAGGAAGTAATCTTTTTTCTCCTCAAGCAGTTTTGCATCCTCTTTTCCAATAGGTGTATCATTGGAAGCATTGTAAAGCTATATTTTTTAGGAGGTTGTTAAATTACCTCAGGTCAACTGAGAAGACGCTCAAATGGCTAATGATTAGAATATTAGGAAAAATTTTCAGTAAAAAAGAATTGAGCTTGAAGGCATCAAACCTGCACTTTAGGAAGGTGTTCCAATGCCTGGAGTGTGAACTCAGGTGTACTTGCTCTAGTTTCCTGTCCTGGAATTTTAATGCAAAGCAGTCACTGGGGAGGATCACAAATTACTTGAAATGCAGCTGAGGAATTGAAGGTGCCTGAATTTCAGGAGTGTGTAATTGAAGTGAGAGTCTCTGAAATTATGTAGTTGTCTAATATCCACCTCTGTGTTGTGTTGGAGAAGAGTTTGTTGGAAGTAGTGGGTGTATGAGTTTTGAAATATAAAAAGCATCTTTGTACACTTAACTGCTAGCTAGAATGGAAAAATGGTTTAGAAGGTGGTTAAATTTTCATCCTGTCCTGTGTTGTGCAGGTACTTCGATGGCAACTTGGAGAAGCTCTTTGCAGAGTGTCACGTAATTAACCCAAGTAAAAAGTCACGAACGCGCCAGATGAACACCAGGTCATCAGCCCAGGACATGTCCTGTCAGATCTGCTATCTGAACTACCCAAACTCGGTGAGTACCCGATTGCCTCGGTGCTGCCTGACCAGCAGCTCCCCAGATTTCCCACCTGAAACTTCACATTTTCCTGGAGAACACCTCTGAGGGTGCTGGGGCTCGGGCAGTGGTGTGGTGAAGTTCAGGAAAAAGCAAGCAGGGGATGTTTGCAAAGGTCAGACACCAACTGAGATGTACACATGAAGCATATGCAAAATGAAAAATCTGTGAAAAGCGTGATGGGCAAAGGGATTTACTTAAATAGAAAGACAAGGTAGGAAATAGCTTTTAAAAGCAGTAAGTAGTGCTACAAAATAGTCAAATTAGGAAGTCTAGACTGAAAGTAGTAGAAGTAAAATGTGAGTATCTTTGGATCTTTATCATTTTTGGGCAACACCCTCTTGGTCAGGCACCGAGGGTGTGTTACCCAGTGCTCGCTGGGGCTCTGCCTCAATGTCCTGGGTGATAGTGCTACATTTTTTTATTGACCAAACTGAAGCATTCCCATACATTGCTAAGAGTCCAGGCTCTGCTGGGGCTCCCAGGGGCAGGACATACTGTTGGGAGATCTGGGAGAAAAGGAGGTGAGTGGAAAAGCTCAAATAGGAGAGTTCATCAAAAGGCAAAGTGCTGATCGTAAGGAATTCTTCCTTTATTGGAACCTGCTCTTTGTGGGGGAGCTGCTCCTCCAGAACACCCTAAAACACATGCTGGGCCTTTCCAGGCAAAGCTGCCCCGGCATAAGGCTCTGCTCTTGCTCTGGGTATGTTTTCAGTAAGGAACCGTGATGAGCTTTGGGGTTCAGGAATAGCCTGGGGTGAAGTTCCCTGGTTGCTCTCCTTTGTTCTGGATCTTCTTCCCTGGAGTGGACAGAGCTGAGCAAAGCCCAGTTTCAGGCCTCCCATTCTCAGAATTAAGGTCCCTGTTGCTCTTGAGCCAGGAACCACAAGGTTTCACGTGCCTCTTCAGGCTTGTGTACCCCAACTTCCTTCTTGAAGAGCAGTTGGAAAGGCAGACTCCTGCTTTGTGTGATGAGGCGCTTTGAAAAAGAAAGGCAATATATTCTAATACATTGTTCTCTCCATTTTAACATAGTTACTGTTTTGGGTAGGGGTGCAACTCACAAGTGCCAGGCCTGTCCTCTGCTGCCTGGGAAGCAGAATCATAGAATCATGGAACAGGCCCACAAGGATCATTGAGTCAAACTCATGGCCCTGCACAGGACAACCCCCAAAATCACACCACCTGCATTATCTAGAGTTTTGAAACTGGAAAGAACAGCACAAAACACTCTAACACTTCCTGATTTTGTAGCTCAAATAGCAGTGGCTCAGTTGTTAGAAGAGCAGATTTTTAGCTGGAGCAGAGACATATTGGAGGTGAGCAGGGCTGTCTCTGTTGCTGGTGTTAAAAGACATCAGAGGGGATTCTGCTTCTTTGCCCTACAAAACTCGAGCTTATAGGAAAATGAGTATTTATTATTTCTTCTGTAAAAGGTCTAGAATGGTGCAGTGTCTGTGTCTAAGGTGATTGAAATATTTTTTGAAGCTGTTTTAGTTGATGCGAATTATAAATTTTAGGATTATTTTTATATTCAATGCCCAACTTAAAACCTCAGCTTTGATAATCCACTTGCAATGATCAGCTAATTATTTTTCCACATGAAAGCTGTGGGGTTTTTGCACTGAGAGCCCTTTTCAGCCTACAGAAAGCTGAGAGTTTGGAGATGCTAAGTTTTACAGTGTGCAGTTGTTGCAGGAATGTTAGTCTTGAAATTCCCTCTTTCCCATCTACAAAGTCTCTGTAGCTCTTCAGTCACCTCCAAAGAGCTGTGTTTTGGGAAGCACCTGCCAAACAAGGCATTTGAAACTCTCACTCTGCAAGTTTGAGGACTTAAGGGAGATGTTTCACCTGCTCTATGTCCCAGTAAGCACTGTCTGGTCCCAGCAGTTATTTTGGGTGATGCTTTTATTGGTAAGACAGGAATTGGGAGGGTTGTGGCTTTGCCTTCCTCTTCTCTTTGTCCTCACCCTCAGGAGAGTGGGCTGGGGGTGTTTTTGGGAACATCTTGCTTTGTCCAGACTTTGTACAGATGTGGTGACAGCAGAGCTGTCCCCTGGGCTAATGAGCTGCCTAAGGAGTTACTGCTCCCCCCCATCCCCGTGGTGGTTTTATGTTGGCCTTTTTACTTGTTCCCTTGACATCTGCTGTCAGCTGAGCCAAAAATAATTGGGAACTCCCTCAAAATAAAGAAAAGAGCTGAGAGATTCTCTGCATTCCTTGCAGCCTGGGAGGAAGCATGGTGGTGGCTGCCTTTCTGTGGGCATTTAGCAAAGCATTTCCCTGCTTGAAATAACCAAAACAGGTCTGACATGATGATGTGTTCTGTGCTGGTTCCTCGTGTGTGCCAGCTGCAGTAGTATTTGGATTCAGTAAGGGATGATTCCCTTCTCTGTGCTCATTTCCCATCACATGTGGAGGAGCCAGAATTCAGGGAAAAGCCAGTGCTGTCTTTGGGCTGGTTTCATGCTCTCTGGCATCCCAAACGTTACAGATGTTAAAGAGTTTTTACTCTAACTCTGCATCTCCAGGAGATGTCACTTGGCCGCAGCAGTATCTGTGGAACATCAGATACCTTGTTAGCTGGCTCAGTAAGGGCTCAGAAATTGGAAGGTGTCATTTTTCACTCTTGCAGTACCACATAGGTGTCAGCCTCCTCTCTGACCTGTTTGTTGGGTTTTTTTGGGGGGTGGATGTCTCTATTTTTACCTGGATCTCAAGTCAGTTTAACCTGTGTTGATGCTCACAGGCCTGTGCTGGTGGCAGGAGTGTCAGAGCACTGTAATCACAGTCTGCCCACCCTGGGAAAGGGGTGCTGACAGGCTCCTTCCCTGGGCAATGCCAGAGCATCCAGAGATGGCACAGCACAGCTGCTGCACCTCTGTGGGATGGACAGAGTATATCTGTCATGTCTGGGAGGAACATGTGCCTCAAGTGGATTCTCCTTTCAACAGTTACCACTGTCCTGCTGTTGTCTAGGGCTGTCCCACTGAGGATGCCAAGTTCTTTCCTCTGTGGAGTTTTATAGTTTGATGGTTGTGGGTAGAGTTCTGGTTTTATCTTGCTAGCTGAGAAGTTGGTTTGAAAAGCTGAGCCAGCAAATATTACTTCTATAGTGGTACAAATGAAGTGTTTTAAATACAGTTTTCCTTGGTGCTGACTCAGACTATAAAACAATTTGAAGCTGACCAGAGAAATGTACTTTAATTCCAGTCTTCCCTCAGCAGGGTTTGCTTCTCCACCCCTTGTGTAACCACTCAGTCCCAGATGATATCTTGACAGCTCTGTGCAGATGATGCAGACAAGGATGGAGTTGTCCTTGTTGCTGTCTGTGACAGCAGATCGTTATTGAATTTTATTTAGCAATTTACACCTGCTAATTAGGATCTTGAGTGTCCTCATCTGATGAGTATCTGGGTTTCAGGGGGAACTTCCCTGAGGAGGTCTGGAATTTTCAGGCAGCACCCACATGTGCCAAGGGGAAAATATAGGAGGAGTGAAGACTCCTATCACTGTGACCTTTGTTTGGTGTTGCATTTATTTGACTGATTTCCAAAGTAAAATGGGAGAGAGCCATACTGTGCTCCATATTCACTCCTAAAACAAGGATAGATTTAACTGGGCAGGATGGAAACATGGGCCAGGCCACACCTTTCTCTGCTGCTGGGGTTGGGGATTAAAGTCTGGCTTTGGGAGAGTGACTAAGGCTGCTGTGGCAATGTTCTGTAGGGGTGATGATGCAAAATGAATAGCAGTGTCTCAAGTTCGGTGTGGGGAATGAGGGATGGGATGGGTGAACAAGGAGGATGAAATTATGGAGTGAATCCATGTGATAAAATGAGGCCATGTCTTGTGTTCTTTGTCATTGCAGTACTTCACTGGCCTAGAGTGTGGACACAAGTTCTGTATGCAGTGCTGGAGTGAATATTTAACTACCAAAATAATGGAGGAAGGCATGGGACAGGTAAAATCTCAACTCATCTCATGGCTTATTTCTGGAAATTCTGTGTATTGGAGAGACAGGAGATAGTTTTTCTGCTAGAGTTTAAAAAAAAACAAACCCAAAAGAACAGCAGAGAAAACCCAAACCCCAAAGGTTTGGGGGCTGCAGACTCTGCTAAGGTGAATCTGGGGAGAATTCTGTGGAGTTGGTGCAGGTATCTGGGCTGGGGAAGGAGGGACCAGTGGCACACCTGGGATGTGGTGGGAGAGGCAGGGCACTCCTTTGGTTCTGGATTGTAGTGAAGTCTGTTGCCTTGGAATTCCTTGTGATGCAAAGCCAGGATAACCACTGTTCCTCCTATGATCTTTTTGTGTTTTTCAGACCATTTCATGCCCTGCCCATGGTTGTGATATCTTAGTGGACGACAATACAGTTATGTAAGTAATGCTCTTAGCTTTGCTCTCTCTTTCCATTGTGTTACTCATGTGCTGTTCAAATCTGTTCACATGCTTACAACAAACTGCACAGAAGCTTGCAGGCAGCACAGAATCCTGTCTTGAACTCTGTTTTGATACCAGAATGTCTCTTAACTTCCTGTTTAGGTGTGAAAGCCACACGTGACGGCACTGGGAGGAAAGACTCCCTGACCAGTTTGGTCAGTGTGACACCAGGGTTTCCAAACCCTGTTTTACTGCTTTGTGCATTTTGTTTCCTTTGGTTTACTTAGGAATTTAGGACTTCTGCCCAGGTCAACCACTATAAGCTGTAGTTAATGAGTGAGTCAGAGGACAGGAGTCCTAAGGGCTGATGCAGGGTGTGTTTTTTGCCCAGTGATAGGAGGCAGTTGACTCTCAAACATGAGATTTGATTAAACTGGTGTGTCAGCCTGCGTCCTTGGAGTTATTAAGTAGTCCAGCTGTAGAATGACTGTTAGTTCATGGTGGAGCAGTGAACTCCATGAGCTTCCTTCTCTTTTATACTGGGGGAGGTTGTTGCATGAGCAATATCCTTCATAACTCTGAACTTTGTTCATTTTAATTCTTCTTGCTAAAAAGCATCTCAATAGAGGCTTATTCTGTTACCTTATTCTTTCCTTCCTGAAGCCTGACTCACTCATTGATATTAATTTGGTGTTTTCTATCAGTTTCTTTCAGAGTAGCGATTTTTCCCAATTTTGGCTCTTGGTTACTCATGGAGTGTAGGCTGGATGGAAGTGGAAGTAGCTGAAATGCTTTCCTGGCCTGTTGAGAGGTGGTTTGTAGAGCCCAGTGGGTGGAAACTGAACTGAAGTTGGCATATCTTGAGTAACTTGATTTGAGATTTTTGTTTACCAGAGGTTGAACTTCAATTTGTGGAATCAAACACTCTCAGCAGGACTTATTTGGAGTGTTTTCTTGATTGCAGCAGTTGGAATGAGCTGTTCAAGCAGTGCATGTGAAATTGAGTAGCTGAAAGCACTGGAGGCTGCAGGGGCAGCAGCAGCAGCAAGGAAAGGATGGAAGAAAAGGGAGGCCAAGTGCTGTGGGATTGCACTTGGCTGGAGAGGGCAGGGATGAGACCTGGGTCAGGGCAGTGGCTGCTGGGTGCTAAAGCAAACAAGTCCCATTTATCTGAGTAAAACCAGAAACTGTTCCTAGAGGTAAAAATTGACCTTTCCCTGATCTTACCTGGATTTCTGTGGGGAGGAAGGTGCATTTTTTGAAAAACTCTTTCCTTTAAAAGCCAAGATGAACAGCTGTGGCAATCTTAGGATATGTCAATATGTTTTGCAAAAATGTAAATTATCTCAGCTGGAACCTGCACCCATTTCGGTGTCCTTAATTATTACTTTTTAGGTCCTTTGCTATTTACCAAAGCCTCCAACTCTCAGTTTCCAAGTGATACAAACCAAAGTTAATATTATTTATGGGCTCTGGGCATGGGTTTCACCTCTTAATTTGTCTGGTTTCATTTATGATTTGCCAAAAGACGGTAATACTCAAAGCAAAGTTCTTGAAGATTTTGACCTGGTGATGTTGATTGGGGCAATCAAAGCATTTGATAAGCAAAAAACCAGTGGATTATGGGCTCTGGTTAGTCATGGCATGACTAATAATTTAAATTCCAGTACTTTGATATATTGTTATAATACTATACATTTTCAAGGTGATATTTAATATGTCTTGAAGCCTAGGTATGGGGTAAAAAAATTGAGATTTATAATTCATACTAAATTCAAATTGTTTTCTCATTCTTCAGTAAGTTTGAGTCCAGAATTGCAGGAGAGATGCTTTGTCAGCCGATTTGTTTTATTTTAGCCCTGGGAATTGAGCTGCCACGTGCTGTGATTTATGTAATAACCAGCATGTGCTTGGGTGAGGAGCTCCCCAGCTGCCCAGGGCTGGGATTTGTGCACATCCCATGGGCACACACCGCTCCTCAGGGAGCACTGTAAGGATAACATGCAGGAGTACATTTAGTTTTGGCTGCAGCTGGAAAGGCAAATCCATTAATTGCAATATTTACCTGTATGGCCTGTATAAAGCTGTATTCCATAGTAGGATTTAAACCAGGAATGCCACACAGGGTGTGTTAGCTCAGCTTTGTATTTGGATATATTGGGAAGACACTTCATAGCTAAAAGACATTTTTAGAAGTGCTCAGCAATCCATAATTAAGTTATTTTGGATAACAGCACTTAGGCTGGGCAGTCTGCAAATGCCAGCTGGGACTGGTGTGCCCAGGAGAAAAGTGGTCACTGCGCTTGTCAAGGGTTCCCATCAGTCAGTTTTCCTCTGCTCTCCCAGCTCCAAGCAGACTGGAATTAATTTAAAGTCCGTGTTGTGTACTCTCCTAGTGATGTTGAATTCAAATCAACTTTGTTTTTATGGCAAATAGATTAAAAACCCATTAATTTTTAAGCTGAAGCTGTAGCATTCCACTGAAACCCAGCTAACATGGGGCTTCCCAAAGTTATTAGCCACACAAGGGTTGTTCTGGAGCTTTTTAAAGGGATTTGTCACAAAATGTGCATGTTTTATGTAAATTAACTGATTAAATTACTTGCTTTGTTTCTTGGGCTCTTCAGGAAAGTTTTTATTTAAAAATCCTCACACCAAGAGGTTCAGTTTTTTTGAAGTGCATGAGCTTTCTGTTTCTGAAGCTAATATATTTATATATATGTTTATATATTGAATAGAATGAATGCAGTTTTCGTAATATGATCTAACAGATAAATAGAGAACAGGTAAGTACAACAAGCACCTGAAAGTGTAGAAGGATGAATCAAACCTGTTTGTTTTAACTTACTGGCAGTGTATAGAAAAAACAAGATTTCTGCTACAATTTTTCTGTTTCTTCCCATCCCACAGGCGTCTGATCACAGATTCCAAGGTTAAATTAAAGTACCAGCATTTAATAACCAATAGTTTTGTAGAGGTGAGTTTTTATTTGAATTTTTTAATGCCTCGTAGGTTGTTTTTGTCTCACACGTGTACCCAGCCAGAGGCTGGAGACTTGTTTAGAACTGCAGAGCAGGTTTTTTGCATAGTCTCTAATCAGGTGTGAATGCAGGGGCTGGTTTATGGTCCTTTGCCTTACAGGGATGGTTGTAGGAAAATACAAAAAAAACTGTAGGACAAAAGACCTAAAGAGAATGGAAGAGCTGTTGCTTAATATCTGGGCTCTGAGAAGCAGAATTACGTAGTTATAATAGTTACATAATAGTTATATAATATTTATGACTCTTGAATGTTACCTGAGATACTTTACATTGAAAACCAGGAAATGCTGTCAACAAGAACATGCCTTAAACATATTGCCATTGAAATAAAAGTGCTTTAGCAAAATGCTAACAGTTTCATAGCCTCAAAATAAACTTGGAGAAGGGTGCTTTGCAGGATGTTTGCAGTGTCCCAGTTTCCCAGTTGTGTGGGTTCAGCCGTCCTGTGGAGCCCAGGGTGGAAGTTGTTACGAGATCAAGCTTTCAGTCCCTGCCAGAAGTGATGGGTGCAGGGGTTTGGCTTTAGTTTCTGAGCTGTTTGCATCCACGACAAAGGGATGCAGGGCAGGAGCTGTCCTTGAGGAGCACATCCTTCCTCTGTGATGTGGGGTCTGTGCTTTGTTTCACAGTGTAATCGACTGTTAAAGTGGTGTCCTGCCCCCGACTGCCACCACGTCGTTAAAGTCCAATACCCGGATGCTAAACCCGTGCGCTGCAAATGTGGCCGTCAGTTCTGGTAAGAGCCAGCAAGGAAAAGTTGCTGATGCTGCTTTGTGCTCAGTGCCCTGCAAGTGTGTTAGTGTGTGTTCATGGAGTCCCAGGCTGCTTTGGTTCGGGAGGGACCTTAAAGGTGATAGAGTTCCACCCCTGCCATGAGCAGGGACACCATCCACTATCCCAGGCTGCTCCAAGCCCTGTCCAGCCTGGCCTTGGACTCTTCCAGGGATGGGGTGACTTTTCTAGAAACCAGTTTCAGTGTCTCATAGCTCTCACAGTAAAGGATTTCTCCCTAATAATTCCATCCAACTCTGTCCTCTGGCAGTGGGAAGCCATTCCCCCTTGTTCTGTCAACTGTTTTGAAGTGGTCCTTGAGGGATTTCGGGATTGAAGGGGGGGATGTGTTGAGTTTCCTTAGGACTGGCTTTGAACAACCCAGAAGAAAACTTACGCTGTTTAATTACAAGTATAATCATTTTCCCTGTTTTCTTATTTTCCTTTTCTTTCCCTTACAGCTTTAACTGTGGTGAAAACTGGCATGATCCTGTTAAATGCAAGGTGAGCATCTTTGAGCTGGAAATCCTTCCAGCTTTTCCGGGCAACCTGTACCCAGGCCTCCCACCCTCACAGGGATCAATTCCTTCCCAATGTCCCATCTATCCTTGCCCTCTTGTAGTGGGAAGTCATTCCTTGTGTCCTGTCCCTCCAGGCCCTTGTAAACACTCTCTCTCCATCTCTCTTGTAGGCTCCTTTCAGGTACTGGAATGCCACAATTAGTCACCTCAAAGCCAAAATGTCATTATTTAAGAGTCAAACATGAAGTTTGTATTGGTTAACTTGTTACAGGAATGTTTGTGCCAGGTGTTTGTGCCTGGTGGATCACGATGGGGCTGCAGGAACTGTCTGCCACTGAATTGGTGGCTGTTTGCACAGTTTTCCATCATCAACACTCCCCTGTTCCACGTGGCTGTGTGTACCTTTCCTTAATGTGAGCAGGTGTCTTGGGAACATTTGCAGTTCCTCCAGTTGGATTTAATGCTCTTCTTCCATCGTTTTTCTGACAGTGGTTAAAGAAATGGATTAAGAAGTGTGATGATGACAGTGAAACCTCCAATTGGATTGCAGCCAACACAAAGGTGAGAGAAAGGTTTTCTCATATTTTATATAGAGATTTTATACAGATTTGTCAGGTGAAAAGGATATCAGTCTAATTCCTTGCACTAGGATTGTATTTTCTATTCTGTGTTAAGAGCAAGCCGTAAAATCCACAGTACACTGAAGTGCTCTTGTCTAAAGAGTGAAAGGTGTTAATGCCTGGAATCAGGTGAGTTTCTTCAAGTTCAGTGAAGGAAAGTGCTTGGAAGAAACAGTTAATTGGAGACCCAAAGGAAGCTCAAGATTTAAGTCTTTGGGCTTCTGTCTGGCACCGGTGGCTTCCCTAAGCAAATGCACGGCCCATTCTGTGTGTGGGACGTGTTACCACCAGCCGTGGCTCAGTTTGGCTGGGATCGTTTACATCTGCCTTCAAATCCCTGGGATTGGCCTCCGGAGGAGCCTTCATTTCCGCTGGGCAGCATTCCAGGTGGAGACTGGCAGAACAGCTGTCTGGGATTTCATTATGTAAAGGTCTTCCTTCTACTTAGCCCAACTTTGCCTGAAACTTTAGCATTTGATCATTTTGAGACAAATTAAAACCAAGATTGTCATGGGGGTAAGGACCCAAAAGCAGAAGATCCCATGGGGGGGTGAGGAGCAGGCCTGAGGCTCCCAGCTGAAGGAGGAAGGTGGGGAGGGAGTTAGGAAATGGCTGCTTTGTTTTCTTAGCTCTGTTGTGTAACTGGTTAATGGCATTGTTTGCAGCAGCCTCGCTGCTTTCCGGGGCTGGCTGCCTGGTTTTCATCGAGCTGGAATGTTGTGTTATGGTGGCAGAGAAACCCCTGCTGTGCAGCTCAGATCGGGCTGGAGTGTGGGGCCTGTGGGCCCTGCTTGGAGCTCACGGTGTCACCAGAGGGAATTTGGCTGTGTCTCAGTGTGTTCCAAAGTGGCTCGGGGACTGAACCAGGTTTGTTTGGAGTTTGCTGGGTCTTCAGGGACTGATCTTATTAAACCTGAGGAAGAGCAGCCAATAGCTTGGAGAAGGCAGAGTGTAAGCACTGCTAGCCTTGGGCCTCACATATTTGGGACACTGGAACAGCCACAGCCCTGTTTTGCCTGTTAAAGCCCTCAGGAGGCTGATCTTGGGGTTCCCCATCTTGTGCCTGCCCTTGCCTTGGGAATAAGAAGATTTTTGGGGGTGGGGAACACCCATCTGGAGGGTGGCACCTGGCACCAGCCCTGCTTCTTCGCTGGTTCCTCCAGTCTGGTGTGAGCGGCAGAGCTGTCCTTGGACATCACTGTCTAACCTCCTTCCTCTAATACTGTTTCAGACATTCCTGCATGGGAATACTTAGGAGCCCAGGCTGCAACAGGGAGAAAAATTGCCATCAGGGTAATTACTCCAGACATTTGAGCAAGCCAACAGTCCTGGAGTCTTATGGCATCCATATCCATTGAATTAGCTGAAGGACAATATGGCATTCTTCTGTCTGAGCTGATGCTGGATTCAGTTGAGGGGAAAGTTGGCAGGAAAAGTAACCCACCCTCGTGCTGGTCTCTGCCTTGGGGAAGGTGGGAATCTCCAGCTTTGGCTGCTGGGATGTGTGCCCTGGGATCTTTGCAGCCTCCAGAGAGCCAGGTCAGCCTGGGATCGTGGGGCTGCAGCCACCTCCCTCCTGCCTCAATTCCCTGCTGATCCCTGACCCAAGGGCTGGCTGGGTGTGGGCTGTAGCGATAGACTGGGATGGGAACCGTGCAGTTGGAACATGTGTCCATCCCTCCTTTCTCTTTGTACTGTTCCTCCAGGAAGGCAGGGCAGCCGTGTTTGGCGAAGCACAACTTTGTGCCTGCACTGTTGGCTCCCCAGCCTAAATTCTGTGTTGAATTTCATTTTGAAGAACCTAGAAAGGAATCATGTACCATCAGATGCAAAAATCCCCATTATCAGTGGGAACAGCTCTCCAAGGAATTCAGTTGTGACTACAGGCTCCGTTGCTGTTTCTGGCTTTTGGAAAGCGCTTTCTGGAGCCTTCCAGGCGTGAGTCCTGTCCCATGTGGGCTCCTCTCAGGGAAGGAGACTTCCTGTCATACCGAGATGAAGGTGTAAAAGCAAAATACCAATCCTCTGGAATGTGGGCTTGAAATCTGGATAATCCTTTGCAACGGGAGAATGTGAGATACATTTGTTCCGGCTTGTCCTGGGAGATGGAGTCCGAAAGGAAAATTAGGCAATTGTGTGAGAGAATAGAAAAGTGAAACCCAGCTGAATTGGGTTCTGTTCCCAAACTGGAATGATGTGATGCTTTTTTTGATGAATTACGTAGAGTCGTCTGAATGAAAAACGAGGAGATTGGAGTAGTGAGTTCTGTGGTTTCTGATATGATTTTTTTGTTCTTTTGCATTCATTAACTTGCACTTAGGAGACCTAAATTCCTTCTACTTCTACAAAAGATACGGTCCTTGCAGCAGAGCGAGCTGGAGTAAATGCCTTTTTCCTTAAAATAAGCTACTTTCACGAGTTGAGCTTAACTAGATTAATTTAAGGTTGAGATAAGGCAATACAAGTTCTTTATCAAGCCTGTGATTCTCAGTCTTTTTGAGGAACAGGGTTGAATAGTCCAAGGATTTGCGCATTTCTTCCTTTTTCAGTTTGCTTGACAAACTTGGGTTCTTCAGTAGGTCCTCTCTTGAGTTAAACTAGGAAGGTTTTGGTTATTTGGAAATAAAGAAACCACAGAGATCCATTACTTTTGTTAAGTGGACATTCAAAGGAGTGAAAAATAGAGAAAACTTGGATTTGTGCATTTATTTTGAGCTCCTAAGGTGAATCAAGACTATCTGAAAGTGGTCTAAAAGGAGGAGGGGAAACCTGTTTGGAACCTGTCAGCGATGTTCATCTTTGCCTCTTGGATACCAAAGGGAAGAGGACAAAGCTGGTAAAGGTGCCGGCCTTCACACAAGGCTCTGCTTTTTATTGTGGAACTTCAGTTGGTGTTAATGAAAGTTGTTCATCTGATAGTGAAAAACGCCCCAGCCTTGCTTCTTTGGCTCCTGGCACATCCCCATCCTTCCCTTCCAGGCCAGACAGAGCTTGAAGGGCTGATGGATAAACCACGCACATTTTCTTCTCCAAAAAAACTAATGACTGTTTTTCTTCCCTGCACAAGATAAAGTGGCATGAGCCCACATCTCTCCCTTTTCTGGTCACTTAATGGCTGGACAGGTGCTCCCTCTGTACTTCTTGGAGCTTCTGCATTTGCTCTAATGCATGGAAATTCTGGAATCCTCCTGGGCACCACAACCAAACTGTGCTCCTTCATTTCCCACCGTGCCAGAGCTGTGATCTCTGTTCTGCTAAAGGTGCCCAGATTCCATCTCCCTTTCTTAGATGAGCTGCTGTTTAAAAAAAACTGTTTTAAACTGACGTTTAAAAAAGTCTTGATCTGTGACTCTGGGTGTTAGAACGGTGTATTGTTTTGTGCTAGCCATAATTAAGTTTTTGTGTTTTGTTGAAATTCATTAAGAAATCCCTTTGGTTTTTGAGAATTCTTTTTGTGGGATGGGCTAGGGGTGAAGGTGTTGGTGTGAATGTGGCTGTGGGAGGCTGATGTCCACCAGTTCCTCTGGGAGTTCTGGAAAGGACTGATCTCTTTCACTTGCCCTGAAATAAGAAACATGTTTCTATTTAACTTCCTGTTCATAAAAGAGCAGCTGAGGTTTATGGTGCTTTATATATGCATGGGCTTTTACAACAAATTCAGGATTGTTCTCCTTTGCCAGGTTTGCCCAGGCTTTTGTTTCCAAGCCCAGTACAGAATTGTTTGGAGTGGAACAATGTTAATGAGGTCACTTCTCTGTTGTGCTGTGGCTGATTATGTGCACAGTAATCTGCAGGTTTAGTAACTTGATTTGCTGCCTGTTGTTGCGTAGCTGTAATTCTCAGGGAGATCTTCCTTCCCTATCCTCATTAATCTATAAATCTCTCCCACTTGTTGTGTTGGTGACTTGAGTAGTTACTACTTCTTTTTCTGCTGGTGTCCAGCATTTCTTTAGTATGTGCTTTTCATGACTTTAATTTTCAATAATATTCAGCTTCACACTTTTCACTTTAGGGATCTGCACAGACGCTGTGTCACCTCCTCCTTGTGCTTTGCCAGACGGGAGCATAAAGGCTTGGAAAGAATGGCATTCCCTGTGAGAAAAAGGCTGTAATGAGATCAGAGAATCATGGAATGGTTTGGGTTGGAAGGACCTTACATCGAGTTCCAGCCCCGCCATGGGCAGGGACTCCTTCCACTATCCCAGGTTGCTCTAAGCCCCGACCACCCGTGTCCTGGACACGTCCAGGGATCCAGGAGCAGCCACAGCTGCTCTGGGCACCCTGTGCCAGGGCCTGCCCACCCTTACAGGGAAGAATTTCTTCCTAATATCTCATCTAACTCTGCCATCTGGAAGTGGGAAGCCATTCCCCCTTGTCCAAAGTCCCTCTCCAGGCTCTCCTGGAGCCCCTTCAGGCACTGGAAGGGTCTTCTTGTCCTAGTTTGCATTCCAGAGCTCAAAGCCCTGAGCAATGTGGACGCACTGGAAGGCTTGGTCCCACCTCAAAGACAGAAGGGCAGAATTTCCATGCTCCTGATGGTGCCTCGCTGGGGCTGAGATGGCCCCGCATCCCTGTGCTGTGGCTGTGCCTGTGGCACCTCTCCAGCTTTGCAGATCACCTGGGAACTGCTCTCCCTCTCTTGCAGCCTGTGGGATTTTGTTCAGCAGGAGGGATCACCGCAGCTGTGTGGATCAGCTACGCCTCCCACGAGTGATGTCGGCACCTGACGGGAGGAGATGTGTCTGGAAGAACTGCACACCTCCACAACCTCCTCTGAAAAACCACTCTGGCTTTGTGCCCCGGGGTCATCGTGCTGTGACAGGGACAGGGCCACTGTCTGTGCTTAGGCTGATGACCAGACTGAGCAGGAATCCACAGTTGGGCAGGACATTGCTGGCATAAACCTAAATTTGGGTCTTGACTTGTTGGTGCAGGATTGGAAGAGGGAGGAGTGCTGCCTGGAAAAGGGAAATAGATGCTGCACTGAGTGCTTTGCTTGAAGGAGGGAGCACTTTTGACTCTGAAGTTCATAGAACTGCACTGACTAACTGGTAACAAGCTTCCCTGGCTGAGTATCTGTCCTGTGGGCAGTCCTAGGGAACATGTTGGTGTTGTGCCCTTGAGGGGACCAGCACAGGAGCTACTGTGCTTCACTTACTCTGTTTGTTGTACAGTTACCGAGTCTGAAGGACAAACACAGGTGACTGGGAAGAAGGCAGGTCTGGAAAATTCCTCTTTTGTGCTTTGTTGCTGCTTGATCCCAGTGGTTTGATGTGCAAATTCTCGTGTCCATGATAGTACAAACTGTCAGACTCATATAAAATGCAGTAGTAGTTGGGACACTCAGAGTGGGTGTACAAGAGCCTGCTGGATTGTGTCCTATATACAAGTAGCAGTTACGGAGTGATTGTGCATGTTGGTTTCTTCCTTTACTGAGAATTTATCTGAATGCCAGGGCAGGAACTGCTTGCTTTGGTAGCAAAGAGATACTCCAGACTGGGGAGGGGATTTCACATGCTTCTGACCCAAAAGCTGCAGCTGATTTTACAGGTGTGTGTATCTCTGGTTTGGATGTTTGTTATTGTATTATATATAAAAACTGGCTCATGCAGAAACTTCATGAAGGCTGGTGTGGTTGTGGGATGCTCTGGATGAGGAGCTGATTCAGCCTAAAATGGTTTTGGTTTTATTTACACAGGTTTTTTCCTCTGTACTTTCTGCTTTGTTGATTTGTTAATTTCTAAGCTCATGGAGACCACAATATTGATGTTATATTTCCCAGATATTTCCCTGTGCAGAGCTGCCCTTTGAGATACTCATACTTGTCAAAAGCCTTGCTCCTGAAAGGGAAACCCCATGTGAGCTTTTATGGAAAAGTCTTCGGTGAGGTGTCACATGAAGGGAAAAAAGGGACCTGATGGGAAACATGGAAACACCTCAGGAAGAGAAGTGTCTTTTTAGCTGACAGCAGCTTCTTTGAAGCACACTAGAGTCTTGCTGCATGTTTTCAGCTCCTTTCTGGATGGCATGTTACAGCTCGGATTGGTAACAGCGTGATTCCGGCTTGGTCTCAGTCCCAGAGTGGTCCAGACACTTGGTGGTGAGGAAAGCCACATGCTTCCCAGGCTCTTAGAGACCACCCCTCTGCTGGGATTTTGGGGAAGGTCATGAAGTGACTCGCCCAGTGTCCCTCTGTGAGAGCAGCATAGATAAGATATGTTATTCCTTAAGTTTTTTCTGTCTAACTGCTCCGGGTTTGGAAGTATTTTAAGGCCTGACTGAAGAGGATCTCGATGTCCAAAGGGAAGAATTAAATCATGTATTTCCCTTGACGTGCTCTGTCTGACTGCTGTGGGAACCCTTCCAAGTTCCCCAGGCTGTTGGGGTTCCGTGCTTGCCCTGCTAACGGTGCTCTCTGTCCTGTGGACAGGAATGCCCGAAATGCCACGTCACCATCGAGAAGGACGGGGGCTGCAACCACATGGTCTGTCGGAACCAGAACTGCAAGGCGGAGTTCTGCTGGGTGTGTCTGGGCCCCTGGGAGCCCCACGGATCTGCCTGGTGAGTTCGGGAGCGTGCCTTGCTGGAAGGCGAGGAGGTCGTGGTGCAAACGGCACGGATTTGGACTGAAATCTGTGGAATCGGTGTCCCTGTTACAGGTACAACTGTAATCGCTACAATGAGGATGATGCAAAGGCAGCAAGGGATGCACAGGAGGTGAGTCCATAACCTTTGGTGATGAGGGAGATCACCGGCCCTGTGGTGTGCTTTCTGTAAACCTACACATCTGCTCTGAAGGAATTCACGGATTCGGGCACAAATCCAAAGGACAGTTAAGTCTTTTGACTTTTAAGATAGGGATGGCTTTGCCTGGTATGTGCTACCTTTGTACATCCACAGCACACAAGTTGAACCATGCCCGTGGTGTTATTTTTTACAGCTGGTCTGTCAGTGTGAAGAAAATAAGATTAATGACTGTGTATTGAGTCATCTTGGTTCTCTTGCACTGTTTAGTACACCGTGCCTTTCCCCTGCTCTGTAATCAACCTGAGATTGCCCTCTTAGCACAAGCACAGTAATTAGAATTCCTTATTAGCAAAAAAAGAAACCCAACAAAACATCATCTTCTCACTTTTGTCATGACACTGGAAGCATTTGAGTGCTGTACCTCGAGTTGAGAAGGCTGAAATACAAAAGTGATGAGGCTTGAGCAGTGCGATTGTAATTGCTTCCAAGGTTGGGAGTGAGGATGTCAGAGCTGTGCTGGGAAGTGCCCGAGGCACTTCCCAGGGTTAGTGGGGCCGCGCCGAGCCATCTGCCCAACGCGATGGGAGAGGAGCCTCCTGTGGAAAGGAAGCTCGTTCTCTGCATCAGGAAGAGCCTTGTGAAGGGTTTAGTTCTCTTGCAACCATTACTTTGTTTTAACTATTTGTTTTCTTTCTCCCTAATGGGAATTAACACAGCGATCCCGAGCAGCCCTGCAGAGGTACCTGTTCTACTGCAACCGCTACATGAACCACATGCAGAGCCTGCGCTTCGAGCACAAGCTCTACGCTCAGGTGAAGCAGAAGATGGAGGAGATGCAGCAGCACAACATGTCATGGATCGAGGTGCAGTTCCTGAAGAAAGCAGTCGACGTCCTCTGCCAGTGTCGTGCCACACTCATGTACACTTACGTCTTTGCCTTCTACCTCAAAAAGAATAATCAGTCCATTATCTTTGAGGTAGGAGAAAATGGGGTTATCAGGAATTCAGATTGCAAAACTGAGGAAATAAGATTTAATGCTTGGAGGCCTCTGGTCCCTGCTTCTACCCAAGTTAGTCTGGTTTAATATTCTGATGTGCAAAAGTTAGAGGCTGTCTGGGCGTTATGTAGGATTGCTTGCTGGAGGAGTCACAGAATCACAAAGCTGTGGCTGCCCCATCCCTGGAAGTGTTCAAGGCTGTGTTGGATGGGGCTTGGAGCAACCTGGTCTAGTGAAAGGTGGCCCATTGCAGTGGGTGGAACTGGATGAGTTTCAATGTCCCTTCCTACCCAGAATCAGTCTGGGATTCCATGATATCTAGTCCTTTTTTATTTTGGTACTGATTCCAATTGCGCTGAAATAAAAATTTCCCCCTTTTCTTTACCCCACCTCAAACGCTTCTTTTCTTTTGTCTTTACAGAATAACCAAGCAGACTTAGAGAATGCTACAGAGGTGCTTTCTGGGTACCTGGAGCGAGATATATCCCAAGATTCGCTGCAAGACATAAAGCAGAAAGTACAGGATAAGTACAGGTTTGTGTTGGATTACTCCTTCCTCTCAAAGCTGCCAAGTGTTGCCATGCCCTGTGTCAGGTAGTGATTTGAGCACTTGCCAAGACAGTTTCTCCAGAGCCACATCCTTGGGAAGCTGTTTGCTCTTGGCTTTGTGCCACCCATTGTGATCAGCCAGTCCCTGGATATCCGAGAGCAGCAGCGCTGTCCCGTGCCAGCCCCGAATCCTCCCAGAGAGGCCCTCACGCAGATGCTGGCAGTGTGTTTTTGTGTCCCTGCTGGGAGCAGCTTTCAGGGGAGGTGACAGCCTGTAGGGAGAGGCTCCCAGCTCTGCCTTCCATCTGCTCTGCAGAGCAGGAGCTGGAAGATCCAGCCCTGGAGTGGAAAAAGTACTGTGTCCAGAAGCAGTGGCTCTCAGTACACTGCTGTTCCTGCACAGAAGGAGCCTGTGGGAATGGCCAGCACCAGGATGGGATCTGCAGAGTGAGGGCCAAAGAACAAGGAGTGACTCTGTTGTTCCAAGCTGCCAGCTTTGGCCTAGGATGAGCTGCCAGCAAGCAATTGGCTCTTTTAATTGTCGGCTGGGTCCATTTGTGCAAAACGTGGGTGTAGGAAAGCTGTCCCTAAGGAAGAGGAGCCTGCCCAGCTGGGAAGGGGAGCAGGGGACTGGGGTCCAGGTGACACAGATGCCAGTGCTTTGTTCAGTCCCAGGGGACTAATTTCTGCACAGTGGAAAAGTACAAAGCTGAAAATGCAGATGAGTCACAGGATTAGGGCTTGCATTTCTGAGGCATTTTGCCAAAATCACTGAATTTGTTACGCCTGGCTTAGGGGGAAGAAAATATCCGAGGTAGGGTGAGCTGTAGGACTCAATGGACTACAGGGCGTGGCAGGAGCTGTTAAGATTTGGTGGCTCATCCTGCCCAACTTCAGCAGCACAGCTGGGGCTGGACAGGACTTTCCTGACATTTTTTTTTTAAGACATTTTGTAATTTACCCTTTAAGGCCACCATTAATTCGGTATTTCAGATGAAGCTGCTTGTTTGTCAGTCCTCTGAACTTAGATGCTTTTGTAGGGATGAAATTAAAACCTTATATAGCCTGAATTGCTTGGAAACAGTATCCCAAACCTGCATTTCTGGGAAGAAAGAATGCATCTGTCAAGCCCGTGCAGGTCCCTAATTAACCAGTTCAGTCATGTCTTAATCAGGTCCTGCACGGTGCCCTTTGATGTAAGACTGGGAGCAGGATGTCATCAAGGTGGCTTTAAAGAGTTCTGGGAAGCTGCAGGAACTGCCCTCCAGGCTGGTTTGGATCTCTTTTGCTTGCAAAGACATATCTAGAAAACGGGATTAAGCCCCCCACACCCAACCAGCAGAAAAATAACTAAAGTTTGGAAAGCAGAGACCGCGTGTTTGCCATCACAAGGTCCTGAAAGTCAACGGGACTTTGTGTACAGGGGTTTCTCTTGCACCAGCTGACAGCAGTGAGGGGAGCCACCACTGCTCCGATGCAGAAATCAGTCACTCTGATAAGGTCCTGAGCAGTAGGTGAGGAATTCCTGCCAGGTGTCAGTGGGTGTTGTGGGATAGCTTCCCACTGGGAGATTTTTTCTGAGGGATGTCTGACCACTGCCAAGCAAACCAGGTTCCCAGCAGCCAGAGCCTCTCAGATGCTCATTTAGAGTTTGCTCTTGGAACCTGAATGAATTCAGTGTTTCTGTGCTTTTTGTCTTCTAACACACACAAAATGACCATGGCATCCTTTGCTGTGTTCTATGATACCCCTTTTCCTCGGGATCGGTGATCCTGGGAGGACTGGACTGGACTCTGGGATCAGTTTCACGTGTGGCAGTTTTCAGTCAGTGCAGGTGGGAATACTGGGTGTAGTGTCCCTCTGAGAGGCACATGTTGGGACGTGTGGTGAAACCTGCTCTCCAGCCAGACCAGTAACCCTTTGGACTGCTTCCATCTCCACTGGGAAATAAAACTGTGTCAGTACTCCTGAGGTTTGCATCATGGACTGGGTTGGGTTGGGAAGGGATCTTAAAGTAAATCTTGTTCCACCTCCTGCCGTGGGCAGGGGCACTTTGCACCAGACCAGGTGGCCCCACCCCACCTGGCCTTGAAGACTTGTTTTTTGTTGTCCTGGTGGGGCTTAGGGCAGGTACCAGCCCATGTTTGAGAAGAGTTCATCCCATTCCATGTGTCACCACCAACCTGTGCTCAGGCTTTTTCAAACCACAGCTGCTGCTTCCTCCTCTTCGTTATTCCTGAAGGTTTCTCAGCTGTAGAGGCTCTGGGGATACTTTTGCCTGAAAAACTCTGCATTTGCACACTGGTTTTCCAACCAGGGACCTGGAGCTGAGTGACTGGAGCAGCCAAAGTCTTAATTAGCGCTGCTAACGGGCTGTAAATACACTCCCTTCTCGGGGGATGATCTGTTTCAGAAATGAGGCGTGTGCTGTAGGTTAGGATAACTCGGTGCCAGGGATGCTCCATGATTCCTGACGTGCCTTTTCCATGCTGTGCCTGTCCCCTGCAGATACTGCGAGAGCCGGCGGAGGGTTTTGTTGCAGCACGTGCATGAAGGCTACGAGAAGGACCTGTGGGAGTACATCGAGGACTGAGCCTGGCCCCGCAGCAATGAACTCTGAACCCTTTCCCATCCTAGAGTGCTCATGCAATTCCAATAAAACCCACCCAGGGCGCTGCTCCGCCTCTTACACCGCTGGTCTGTAGTACCGGGATTCTGTTTTGTTAACAGAAAAATTAAGTAAATTATATTGTAATAAAAAAAAAAGGTAGATAAACCATTGTACAACAGTATTCTAGGCGGCCAAGAGTGTGACAGACGCACTAAAAAACCCTCCAACTTTAACTTGTAACGTAGCTTCATCCTCCAAGCCGACTCCTTTTTCTTTTCTCTTTCTTTTCCTGTGTGTAGTACAGATGAAACTTAAACCAGTTTCTTGACACCGCTTTTCATGTCCAAACCAGCCATTTTGATGGACTTTGGTAAGGGGGGTGGCTTTCCCGCCCCCCTCCTCCTCTCTGCCACACAAGTACACGGATGAATGTGGATTGGCTCATTGTAAAGAGGATTTCTGGGGAGGGAAGGAGGGGGGTACACAGCAAGGAAAAACAAAAACAACCCAACCTTTGTATATGACTTTTAAAACAAAAAGAGGACAACACAGTATTTTTCAAAGTTGTATATAGCGCATATGCATGGACAAAGAGCAAGCGTGGCACGTGTTTGCATAATGTTTAATTACAAAAAAATATTTATTCTTTAAAAATCTTCAAGATTATGTCTATTTGCTGTGCATTTTCTTTCAGTTTGATTCTTTTGTTTGGTTTTGGTTTTTTTTTCCCTGGGCTGGGGTGGGGGAAGTGTGTGCTGGTGTAGTGAATATATCTATATATATATTTTATTTTTTTTTTTTTCTTTTTTTGGAACACCTTTTCCAGAGCAGTTGGGTTTCTCCTCTTCCTGCAGCTCCTTTCTGTCCAGGGCCTCCCCCAGGTCTGTGTGTGTATCCATTGCTGGCGACGGACGCGGCCCCTCGCAGCTCCTGGAGCTCTGGTTCAGGATGCCTTGCCTTTTTCTTGGTTGATTTTTGGCCCCAGACCTTTACCTGCCCAAATCCAGCTCTCTGTTCCCACTCGTGCACGCAGGACACGTGCTGTGATCCCAGAGGAGGCGTGTGTGTGTGCCTGTATGTGTGTGTGCCTCTGTGTGTGTGTGTGTGTTTAGAGATTTGTTTTGGATCCCAAGGCAGGACAAGGAGGGGCATTTTGTACCACTTCTCCAAAGACTTCCTGCGAGATTTCGGCTGTGGATCTCCTCTCCCTCCCCTTTTCATCTGTCAAATGGACCCTTTCTTGCTGTTTTAATTTTCACTTCATTATAACGAGTCGTAACATTGAAAAGGAAAGCTGATGGAATTGTCTTTGTGTTTGTTTTGGGCTCAATCACTGGGTGTCCTGTCCTGGCAACTATTTAACACTCCATCTAGTGCAGTAGAAGCTGAAATCAGCGGAGTATTTTTCAATTAAAAGGGGAAAGAACTAATGAGTTTAGCTACTGAGTCCATTTTTATGATTTCTGTAATAAGAGCTATGTTAAAGTAAACAATTGGTGGTGGTTTTATTAAATTTACTCCTGTATAGGAATTCCTTCTGTGGTATTTTTCACCAGGCAAGTGTCCTCCGAGCCTCCTGCCACTCTGCCAGCTTCCAGGGGATGGGAGTTGTGAAGGGATAAAATAAAAAAGGCAGGGCTGTAAGAGGGGTTGCTGTTTCCAGGTGGCAGCGGGGTCACATCGGCTTCCTCGCCGCTCCTACCGAGTTCCACGGCTGTGGTTTTGTCCCTGTGTGCCCGCTTTTCCCGTTATTTGCCCTGGAAGTGAGCCGTGAGGCAGCGCGGCCGCTGTCCGTGTGCTTTGCGCGGTGCTGCCGGAGGGGTGCGATGGCGCAGGGCTGCGCGGGAGCGGCCCTGCCCTGCCATTCCCGGTGGGAATTAGCCGGCCGTGCCCTGAAAACACTTGGAAGCTGGAGCGTGGTGGGCTGGGCAGGTGCAAGCACAGAGGCGTTGGGTTTTCACTCCGTGTTCCCCGAAAGGAATACGCCAAGGATGTGGGCACTCCAAAGGAAACCCGGTCTGTAGCGTCCTCAGTCCCCGTGGCTCTTGGCAAACCTAAAGACAATAACAAAAGCCCTGTTCTGTGGGAGAATCTGCTGCAGTTCCTTTCCTCCGGCTTCCAGGCGCTCGCAGGTGAATTACCTGGCTGGCGGCGGGACACCATCCCCACAGACACTGTGGAAATACAAAGGAAAATAAACAAAATCCGCCATCCCAACCTCCCTCCGTGCTGCTACTGTGGGGCGAGGAGGGAGCGGCGCTGCGGCCGCTCAGCCCTTCCCGGGCCGTCCTTCCTCACTGGCGGCCTTATTTCCCTCAATACCACGGACTTCCCAATAAAACCTTCCAAAAGCCGGACATTTTATTATTTATGTGGTTATTCGGGTGTTTTGCAGGTTAAACGAGGGCAGGGGCCGGTGTGGGGGGGAAGGCCGGACTCCCGCCACCACCTTCCCGCCGTGCCCCGCGCGCCATGGCCGCACCGGAAGTGGCGGGCGGTCGCCATGGCAACCCCGGCCCGCCGCGGCCATGGCGGAGCCGCCGGACACCACGGTGAGGGGCGAGAGCCGCCCGGGCTGAGGGGGCCGAGAGGGACGGGAGGGCAGATGAGGGGAGGTGAAGGGAAGTGAGGGAAGGCGGCGACGGCGGGGAAGTTCTTTTTGAAGAGCGAGTTTTTAATCTGCACACTTGGTATGGAAAGCGTGAGGGAAATTCAGGCTCTGCTGAAGTAATTAACAGTAGCAATCAATTATTGGGTGCTGGAACAGGGGAGGAGTAATGGGGATGGGGAAGGGGCTGCAGCACAAGGAGCGGCTGAGGAAGCTGGGGGTGGACAGCCTGGAGAAAAGGAGGCTCAGGGAGACATCAGAAGCCCGGCCTGAAGGGGCTCCAGGAGAGCTGGAGAGGGACTGGGGACAAGGGATGGAGGGACAGGACACAGGGAATGGCTCCCACTGCCAGAGGGCAGGGCTGGATGGGATATTGAGAAATTCCTGGCTGTGAGGGTGGGCAGGCCCTGGCACAGGGTGCCCAGAGCAGCTGTGGCTGCCCCTGGATCCCTGAAGTGCCCAGGACCAGGCTGGACATTGGGGCTTGGAGCTGTCCCTGCCCATGGCAGGGGCTGGAACGAAATTATCTTTAAGGTCTCTTCCAACCCAACCCATTCCATAATTCCTTAGTTTTTTGTGGTGGAGGGTGAAGCCCCGCAGGGGTCAGTACCAGGCCTGGGTTGTTTGGTTTACTTAGAAATGATCTGGACAAAAGGATGACTAGAAACTTACTCAGGTGAGGAGGAAATAGGAGAAACTCCAGGAGTCTTAACAGAGCTGAGTGAGAGGGCTTGGAATGATGGGTGTGCAGATTGAAAAATAAATTGCAATATATAAACAAATTAGGTGTTTGTGCTGGTTATTTTTTGGGTTATTTTTCTTGTCTCAGCATCTCTGATTTCCCCATCTCCAGTAAAAAAAGGTGCAACTAGAAAATGTTCCCAAAACACTGCAAAGAACAAAGATTGACTGAATCTCTGATTTTAAAAATTATTTATTAAGGAGAGAGGAGGTGACAAAGGTGTATAAGAGCTGTGTTGTGTCTTCCCAAAAAGCAAAGTGAAAAATAAAGATACTTTCCTGTGTAAACCCATTTCTCTTCTGTGAAGGTTTGATGCTTGATGCAAAGGAAGAAAATCATATAAAATAAATGTATTTTCCATGGACTGTGAACTTGCTGGGGGAGGTTCCCTGCCCTCTGTATGATGGGGGCATCCCTGTGCTCACATCCTGCGGCCTCAGATGGTTCCCCGAGAACAGCTTTGCCCTAATTAACTTCATAAATATTTTATGAAAAATGTTTTAGTTTCTGTGTGATCTCTAATTAGCTTCTTAAATGCTCCAGTCTCGTTTTTCTGCAAGGTAAAGACCAGTTCCCAGGATGCTGGTGATGAGAAGTGACCCCAGGAACAGGGATGCGCTGCACAGTGAGGGTGTTTATTTAATCGAGCTGTGGAACAGAAATCTCTGCCTTGCTTGGCAGGGCAGAGTTTGTCCAGCAGCAATGCTGCTATTTTTATGCCCTCCTTTGGGATTTGCCAGTTGTCCTTTCTGATTATTTTCTGGAAAAGAGTTTCAAGAAACCTTGCCTGGTATATTTACTACTCCTGGTTTCTGTCTTTTCAGGTTTCTTCATTGCCAGCGGCTACAGAACCAACAAAACCCCGTCCTAAAAAAGGTTTGTTTGAAGATGTGATTGTGTTTCTTGGGCAGGTTAGTTTTAAGGTTTCTTCTATAGTGTTTGCAGATGTCTAGGAGGAAATAAATGTCCTCTGGGAAAAGAGGAGACTGTCTAGACTGTAATTTGCTGAGTACCAGTATTTTTCCAGGGTCTCTGTGAGCTCAGTGCTGCTGTTCCTGGCCGATTTACCGTAGCCACAGCCTGTATCATGTTTGCTTATAATCTGTGAGACTGTTTATTTTATTGTGTACTTACTTATGGGGCTGTTAATGAGTCTGGTACTCATTTATCCTCTCAAATAATAACAGGTTTGTTTTGGGTTTTTCAGAATGATGTCTTGCTCTGGAAATAATCTTGGGAAGCAAACACTGTGTCTTGTGGGTTTTTTTATGTCACATGTTCCAGTTTTTGAAGAAAAAGTGGTATCAAGTCAGGCAGGTTGTGACCGAGTTTAATTATTGTTTCTTTGCTTTTGTTAGTAGTTTCTTTTGAATACTGGAAACGTGTTAGTTCACTCCCTGCAAATTGTTGTTTTGAAGTCTTGGTTGAATCTGAACTGGAACTGGTACAATTTATGTTGTTGGCTCAAAATGTTTGACCAAATCCTGCTGGTTTTTGAGGGATCTGGTAAATTCTTCAGCCTCTCCTTTCCCCCTTTCCTTTGTTCTTGAGACAGGACTTGTCCTGACACACACAATGAGTATTTCTTTCTGTGTGGCACTGCTCCCCTTCCAACACAGACCTGGTCACTGCAGAGCTTTTGTGCCCACCTGAGCATTTGGGATGGTTTTCAATGGATTCTCCTTTCTCCAGTGTGCAAAGGGCCCCATCAGTTCAGATTCTAATTAAGAGTATTTACTCCCAGTGCCAGAAACAGTCCTCCTTTTCCCTTGCCCTTGCATTCAGGGAGCCTCAGGTGGTGAACACAGTCCTTTGGCCACTCTCTGTCCTGATGTGCCTGTCAGAGTATTCCTTGGGATGGAGACTGCCTTGGGATAATGCTGGCAGTAAAAAGGACACTGCAATGACATTCTGCCTAACTGGGTTCTTTGTCCTGCATGCAGGCCTTGGGAAGCTGGAAAAGCCACTTTGCTTTTGGGGAGTTCAGGCCAGTAGTCCCAGTTCCTGGTAGGAGAATTCCAGCCCTTGAGCAGAGTGTGGCTGTCCTGGAGGTGGGGCTGGAGGTCTCAACACAAGCCCAGGCCTCTTTGGTAGCTTGCCCAGAGCTGAGGAGAAGATTGCTAGGGCTTCAGGCCTGCATGCAAGTAAAAATAACTCCCAAATTTACTTTTATCTTGACCCTCAACTCTGTCAGAACAACGATTGCTCTAAAATTACTCTAAATTGGTTACTTTGAGGCAATTAGTCTGACTTCCATGGAGGCACTGATGGGCTCCCTGGTGAGCTATTTAATCTCTATCCTTCCCTACAAAGGTTGTGACTCTCATCTCCTCATCTTCCATAACCCCCACCCTGCTCTGCCTCATTGTACAGGTCCCATTTATTTGTGGCTCTGGGTCTCCCTTTTATACTGACACAGCCCTTGACTCCAAGTAAACTATGGTGATTTAAAAAAAAATAAAAATCCTCTAGCCTGTGACTTTTGTAATTCTCTTTTGTGTCCTTTAAGGTAAATTGAGGCATCTCCAGTGCCTGGCACACCTCGGGTCATTCTGACTGAAATGCCTTCAAAGCCTTTGGGCTTTGCCATTTAATATTTGACTTCAGTGCAGCAGGGAAAGCTGATTTGAGCTGCCTGATCGTTAATCTCTGGGAAATGAGGGCAGCAAAAAGATTTGTACTTGGAGTGATGTAACAGTGTCCTCTGTGTGTGGGTGGGGGACTGGGGACATGGAAAAGAGGAGCAGGGAGAATGAAGGGATGTTGGATATGTTTGTGTGGAATTTGGCCGGAAAGACCAGCATCTTTTTTCCCATGACAGCTGGGTTTTTTTAATGGAATATTTGTAGAACATCTTAATTAAATATCTCATCCCATTTTAGTTTAGCTGAGGAGAATTACGATGAACTTTAGGAGCCAGGCTACATCAGTGCTGTTTGAACAGAAGAGTGCTGCTAAACTTATTTTTAAACTGACATTTTAAACATTGAATGGCCACTTTCTGTTGCAGCAAATTGCCTCTTTATATTTGCATTGTGTTTTCAAGCAGGATAAAGCCCCGGTGTCAGTGTTTTCTCTGGCAAGAGAGATCCTGAACTCATCATTAGCACAAACAGGTCTGTGAAATGCAGAGAGCATATGAACAGTTTGGTGTGGGCAAAATTCGTTCCCAAATAGAGCA